ACATTATCATTGAAAGACGAAAGGAAAACACCATATTGATACATGTTTAAATCCAATCTAAGCTTTCGGCTTACACAGACCATTATCAAAGATGACAATGTCAATAAATCAAACAACACACGGACGAGACAACAATGATATTCCGCCCTTGCTGCATTGCGTCATCCGTGATTGCATCAGATTTTTACCACGCCCAGTCACTATTGTCTCGTCTGTCGATTAGTTGTCCTATAGCCATTGTATGCGATGGACGTTACTCCAAGGAAGCGAAAGAAAATTGTAACGCTGTACGAACACAATGGCAAGCCTTACCAATGAGCAAATCAAAGGGCTATAGACTGTCCCGGAAACTCTCCTGATTCAAATCCAATCGAGAATCTAGGGTCAATCTGGAATAAACGACTTCGTTGAATGGAGATTTGATTTGAAGTACTAACATGTGCACAGGGTCATGTTTCATTGGAAAAATACGAAAAGAAAGTAAATAATAACGAAATTATTCATTGTGTTTCGATTAATTTACACAAGTCATTACCAGACATGAAAATATCTGGAGAATATATTTGCCCATGGTAAGATGGAAAGTGTGAAATAAAAATTAATTTATGCGGGAAAAGGAGATTTTAGGTTACATAAGTGATTGATCGATCTCAATCAACGACTATTGCTTCGTCTTCCTCTCTGACATCAGATATTCAATGCAGCAAGCAAACAGGGAAACTTTTAATGTATGATACGTTTGCGAAAAAGTAATTAACGTCGTTCCTCTCAACAATGGCCACGTTTCTAACGTGTTTACCAGTAGGAGGAGCTGTTTATATAATGTTCTAGTGCAATCGAATATATATAAACACGAAACGTACAAGGAACGTACAATGGCACACAAACCTTTAAAAAAAAAACACCGAATAAAATTTTCTCCTTTTATGTGTCGTGTCCGTTCATGGGATCATAGCACTCCACAACTTCCTATCTTCCCATCTATTTACACAAGCTTGTTAGCTAGATGATCATGGCTCTCCACATCTTCCCCTCCTTTGTAGTTCTAAGAAATATTTGTCCCTTTACTATCCCTCTCAGTTCCTGTTCTGCCATCCATTTACATAAGCTTTTTAGATAGGTTATCATGGCTCTCCACAACTTCCTTTCCGTTGTAGCTCTAAGCAATATTTGTCCCTTTACTATCCCTCCCAGTTCCCGTTCTGCCATCGATTTACACAAGATTGTTAGGTAGGTGATCATGGCTCTTCACAACTTCCTATCCTTTATAGCTCTAAGCAATATTTGTCTCCTTACTATCCCTCCCAGTTACTGTCCTGTCATCCATTTACACAAGCTTGTTAGCTAGGTGATCATGGCTCTCCACAACTTTCTATTCTTTGTCTCTCTCCCATACCCTGTTCTGCTGTCCATTTACACAAGGTCATTACGTAGATTTACTCGACGTTTCCCTCTGCCCCCCTTGCCTTTTATGCGCCTTGTGACTGTTAAATTCTCCAAGCCTTCTTAACATTGTGTCCTAGAAATTCTTTCTGATTCTAAGCACAAGTGTCCTTTTTGTTTCCATTTTCTTTCAAACTTCCTCATTACTCATATGTTAAGTCCATGGTATCATCAGCATCCTTCTGTAGATTAACATTTCTTTTACCTCAAGTCTCCTCATCATCTGGGAGAAAACTGTCCCACATTCACTGCCAAATAGGTGCACTGATATTACATAGCATTTTTTAGCGCTCTTGGTTTCCAACAAAATTTTCATGTTTGTTATTACCTTGTTTAGCTTTTGAAAGGCATTTTTCGTGATTATAAAGCGCCTTCGGATTTCTATGCCATATTTTCCGTCGTCCGTTACGACATTTCCCAGATAATGAAAGTTTTTCAATCGCTTGATTTTGACATCCCCAATTTGTATTTTCTATCTTGGTTTGTCCCTCTTACTGACAATGTTCTGTCTTCTTACAATTGATTGCAGGCGAGAAAAAATCGACCACGCGTATATATGAAAGTCGAAATTTACTTATTAACATTTTGCAGAAATATATACACACAATCTACATTTTATATTGATTTTATGCGGTCAGTATTCACATTTTACAAGAAATACATTTTACGAGATCAGCATTCACATTTTGCAAGATCAGTATTCACATTTCACGAGATCAGCCTTCACATTTTACGAGATCAGTATTCACATTTTACAAAATCAGTATTCACATTTTACGAGATCAGCCTTCACATTTTACGAGATCAGTATTCACTTTTTACAAAATCAGCCTTCACATTTTACAAAATCAGTATTTACATTTTACGAGTTTAGCCTTCATATTTTACAAGATCAATATTCACATTTTACGAGATCAGCCTTCATATTTTACAAGTGTCGTATTCACATTTTACGAGATCAGCCTTCAAATTTTACAAGATCAGTATTCACATTTTATGAGAACAGCCTTCATATTTTATAAGTGTCGTATTCACATTTTATGAGATCAGCCTTCGCATTTTACAAGTTTCGTATTCACATTTTACGAGATCAGCCTTCATATTTGACAAGAGTATTATTCACATTTTACGACATCAACCTTCATATTTTACAAGATCAGTATTCACATTTTACGAAATCAGTATTCACATTTGATAAGAACCACATTTTACCAAATCAATATTACATTTTACGAGGAGCACATTTTACGAGATCATCCTTCATATTTTACGAGATCAGTATTCATATTTTAAGAAATCGGTATTCACATTTTACGAAATCAGTATTCACATTTTACGAGAACTACATTTGACGACATCAGCATTCACATTTTGCACGATCAGTATTCACATCTTATGAGATCAGCATTCACATTTTACAAGATTAGTATTCACATTTTAATAGATCAGTATTCATATTTAACAAGAACCACATTTCACGAGATCATTATTCACATTTTGCAAGAATGGTATTCACATTTTACAGAAATTTATATTAACAACAAGCGTTTCATAATGATTTTACGTGATTAATAATCTACAGAGAAGTGAATGTCTTTCCTCTTTGAGAACAAATCTATAGCGACTTTTGGGTAGAAGTTGCCCGAATGAAATTTCCTTCTCACCAATAGAACACAACGGGAACGAGGATTGTTCACATGCACATTTGGCATAACTGGCCTATGCTTGAATTGGTTGAACTAGGGAATGTAACTGCTTTCGTCTTCCCTGAAAGTGTGGCATCAATAAACCCTTTTTTTCAGGAAGTGGGGATTTTAAACCAATACGCCAGCTTCTCATCGGTTTCTTTACAAATACGCTTTTGAGGATACAATAAAAAATCTGCTTAATGGATATTAACTACTCTGTAGAATTTTATGCTCATTTGGTCAAGGTGAATCCCGTTCAAGTTTAACTTTCCAATTTCCTGTTGGCTTCGAACGGTATAAACTTTCATTCATGTTGTTAATGACTTTCTCTTGTGTTAAGAGGAAAATTCGTCACTGACTGTGTTTTTAATACGGCTACCTAGGATTATACAGAGCCATCTAAAACCAGACGTTTTACTGGATATTAGCGTTTATTCTGCAGGAAAACATTAGTCCACGTTTGTATATGTGTACTGTTGTATTTTTGTGTGTGAGCGCGGAGGTGTGTATGCACATACGTATGAATGTTTACTTTGTAGGCGTGTGTAACTTTGTCTGTGCGCGTTCGTATGCCTGTGAATGTATTTACATTACGTACGTTTGTTTCTGAATAAACGTGTGTGTGTATGCGTACATACGGGGGTATACGTATGTATGTGTGTGTCTGTACACGTGTGTAGGGGTGTAAAAACATAGATATGTGTACGTGTGTATGTATGTGCATCTATGCACATACATGTGAATGTGTACTTTGTCTATAAGTTTGTGTGCGTTCGTATGTGTGAGTGCTTATTATACATTGCGTATATTCGTGTGCAAATGTTCATGGATGTGTATGCGTATGCGTACTTACGGAGTGTACATCTATGCGTGTATATGTGCGTGTGTACGCACAGGGATGCAAGAACATAGATATGTATACGTTCGTGTATCTTTTCACATACGTGTGAATGTGTACGCGTGTGTGTGAAAGTGTGTCTGCGTGCATTCGTATACATGTGAGTGTATTTATTTTTCGTATGTGTAAATATGTTTGCGTGTGCGTACGAGGTATACGTATGTGTATGTGTGTGTGTGTGTGTGTGTGCATGTGTGTTTACGTACGGGGACGTAATATGTAGATACGTGACCGTGTGTGTATGTCTATGCACATGCGTGTAAATGTGTATGATGTGCATGTGTGAGTTTGCTTTTACATGTGGGCGTACCTATGTGTGTGCTTGTGTACGTACGTGTATTTATGCGTACAAACGACGTTATACGTACGTACTATGTGTGTGCGTGCTGGTGTATACGAATGTGTGTATGTACCAGTATGTGTGTCTACGTACTGATATGTGTGTGTGTGTGTGTGTGTGTGTGTGTGTGTGTGTGTGTATTTGCTTGCGTGTGGTGCTTTCAGGCGTTGCCCACACAGAGTTATTATTCCTTTGACTGAAAGCCATCTTGCAAAACTCGCCTACGGTCAACCTAAAAGAATATTTCGTTCTTTTCACTCTCCTCCCCCTAACTTACTTCTACTAATATCTACTTCCCTCTGTGCCTCTCTTTTACCACCCTCCTCTTTCCATCTATCATTTTCTCTTTTACTCCTTCCTGTTTCTCTCAACTCCCCACTTGTGCTCCTTCCTGTTTCTCTCAACCCCTCCCTTTTACTCCTTCCTGTTTCTCTCAACCCCTCCCTTTTACTCCTCCCTCTTTCACACCGCCCTACCGCTTCTATTCCGTTCTGTTTTTCTCTCTATTTTTCATTCCATTCCCGGTTACTCTATCCTATTCATTTGGTATTTATCTCTCTGCTTTTATTCATGAATGTAGATATGTCAGGTCACTCTGAGTACTACAGGTACTAATACCGGGCTGAATTTGTTAACTACTACCTTGATATAGACGCCGCCTCAGATAGATAGATAGATAGATAGATAGATAGGAACAGACTGCGATAGATAGATAGATAGATAGATAGATAGATAGATAGATAGATAGATAGATATGAACAGATTGAGAAAGATAGAGAGAGTGATATATCGGAACATAGTTATGAATAGACATAGATAGAAAGTTTGCTGGGCCATATTTTTCATTTATATTTTTGACATCTAGATAGATATGATACGACATAGAAAGTTATGAACAGATTGAGATAAATATGAACAGTTCAAACTGATACATACATACATATATAGCTAGACAGCTAGCTAGATAGATAGATATTAATTTTGCTATGCCATAATTTTCATTTATATTTTTGACATCTAGATAGATATGAACAGAGATAGATAGATATAGTGATTTTCCAAGCGTAGCTCATATGTGGCACAAGGCCGAAAGTATGGGGCACACAGTGAGAATCGAACTCACTACACAGTCATAATTGTTCTAGTGAGACAAGTTTGCTAACCATTACACCACCTCGATGTACCCCAGACATAGATAGATATATGAACAGATAGATAGATAGATAGATATTAACTTTTCTAGGCCTCACTTTTCATTTATATATTTGGTGTCTTAATAAATGATCACATATATTTGGAGTTATTAATTTATACAGTTGTACGAATTCATTTAGATAGTTATGGACTGTTGTTCTTTCTTTTTATGTTCCGTGTCCTTTCAGGACGTAGGCGATCATGGCTCTCCACCTCCTTCTATCCCTTGAAGCTCTCAACAAGTTCCTTCCTTCTACTTCCTCTCCCCGATCACGTTCTTTCATCCACTTGTTTAAGCTTGCTAGGTATGTCATGCGTTGTTTTCCCTTGTCACTCTTTCCCTCTATTCGACCAGTGAGTATCACATTCTCCAGGCTCTCCTTTTTCATTGCGTGTCCCAGAAACTTCAGCTGCCTCTTCCTGATGTAAAGTACAAGCCTCCACTTTGTTTTCATCCTCTCTAAGACCTCATCGTTGCTCACACGCTCGGTCCATAATATCCTCAGCATCCTTCTTTAGAACCATACCTTCGTTGCCTCGAGTTTCTTCTTTCTTTTTGGGGAGGCCGTCCAAAATTCGCTGCCGTAAAGGAGGACAGATGTCACGTAACAGCTCAGTACTCTAAAGTGCTTATAATAAAGAAATGCTTCAACTACTTGCCCTGACGCCTGTATTACTTCGTCTGAATACTGACTCCAAACGGCTTTTTCATTTCTTACCTCTGACTTGGAGGTCTTTATTTATAGTTATGGACGAGTTCATATAGTCACCGGGGGTGTACTGTTTACTCTACAACATTACCTTTTTGAGATTAATACTTTTTTATAAATATATATTTTTTTTATTAGTATTGGTATCTCCCTCTCCTCTTTCTGTAGAGTTCGCCAACGTACTTGACTTTGTAGCGTTTCCGTCTCGGATCTCAGTTCTTCAGTATGCTTTCTTCTTCATGGAAATTTCCCTTGTAGGTCTCACGACTTCTTGTTGTGCTGGCACATCGAAATCTTTATATAGCATTTTTATCGGTTCTTCCAATGTTCGAGGTCTTTCATTGATGAAACTTTTTTTTTCAGCTGATTATGGTGACTTTTATGTTCAAATCATTTTTCTTTGGCCATGTAACCTAACCTCCCGATTCTTGGTGATATTATGCCATCTTCCCGTGTTTGTTAGTTTTTTTTGTTTTTTGTTTTTTTTTTGCCATCCATATATTCCCTAAAGAACACTCTATTGACGATCTTGAAACCTTTGGTTTCGTTTTTGTTATCCGTTCGGGTTTTTTCGACTTGATGATAACTTGTAGGACATGTTTTTACTTTTCTAGCAAACATTAATTTCCCCGGTGACATGCCTAATGGTGTATTGAGGTTAGGTATGACACCCTAAACTCTCAGAAAAATTCAAGAGCTTCCTTATTTACTTTCTGAAGACTTGCTTTCTCCAAACACTTTTGGACGTTCACACAAACCGTTCCACTTGTTCTACATTGGATGCTACGTCGGGATCGTAATATACTCAATGGAGAACATCTTACAAAAATCTTCGAATTCTTTAACCGTGAATTGCGTTCCGTTATAAGAGACTATGGTATCTGGTATGCCATATCTCGCAAACAGTCCATGCAAGAAATTCACTGTCACTAAAGATGTTGGATTTTTTCACTTATAAATTTCCAGTCATTTAACGAGTCTGTCAACAACCACAAGATCATTTGATCTATTCATCGGACCTGCAAAATCTATATGCATTGTTGACCACGGCGTGTCTGTCTTTTGCCAAGGTTCTATCTTTGTGAACGGTAGTTTTGCTGTCAGAGCACAACTTCTGCAATCTTTCACTTATTTTTTTTAAATATCTTGGTCCATTCTGATCCAAGACATGAAACTTCTCATGAATCTCATTCTTGAATACTAAGATGTCCGCTATGATATACTTCAGTATTCGCTTCTGTAACACACTTTACAACCCTTTGACCGAATATTACTACACCGATGCATAGCGAGTAAGTATGGATTCCGTTCTTTGTTACTTTCATTCAATTGATTTTTTTTTTTATTTTCGCAATAAAGACGTCGTTTTCCGCCTTTTTCTTTTATTTCTTCCAGGGTAAATGGTATCTCTCATACTACGTTGCAAAAAATGTTTTTTTTATTTCCATTTCTCTTTTTAATACTGCAATAATTGTGTCCTGAAATAGATCTGCATTTTAGGTATTAATCTTGATAATCCATCCGCATGTCCTAATTTTTTAAATGGTTAGTATTCCATCGTAAAATCATAGTTTAATAAATCGTACCCCACGTTGTAGTCTATTACCTGTATGCGTAGGTATACCTTTCTTTGAACCATATATTGTTAAAAGAGTCTGTGGTCTGTTTGCAACCTAAAATTTCTTCCAAGGATAAATTTATTAAATTTCTTCGCAGCAAATATAATTGCTGGAGTCTCTTTTTCTATCTGGCTGTAATTTTCTCTGCTGGTAGAATCGAGCGTGAAGTATGAACAAAAGCTTTCATTTTACCGGCATCGTATCTGTGCAAAATCACCGCTCCAATACCGTACTCACTAGCATCTAACGCTACTACAATTTCTGCTTTTGGATAGTAATGTGCTAATGATAAATCTGATATAAGTCCATAGCTTGTTGAAAAAGTAGCTGGTGACACCTTTATATCAAAAGGAAGTCGGTTAAACTTATATAATCCTCTGTGCGTATTAATGGTCGTTAATTCTGAACATTCATTTCCAATCTGAATTTGTAAATACGCTTCAGAGAGATCCAGCTTTGAAAATATTCTTCCGCCGTTTAACTTCAAAAACATTTCTTCTGGACTTGGTAATGTGTAGTAAACAAATGTTTAATCCTGTCGAGAAATCCGCACAAACACGAATTTTATTTTTTTTCTTTATATACATCGTTGGTGCAGCCAATTTTGAATGATTAATTTTTTCTATTACACCAATTCTTTCGAGTCTGCCCAAATCTCCGTTGACTTGTTCCAATGCTGCAAATGGTACGGTCCGTTTCGGCTTAAATATTAGCGTCGAACCATGTTCTACTTAAAAATCCGCATTGAATTTTGAACACCGAGCCAGTTCATTTTTACAGAACATCTGGAAAACATTTTGCATTAAGATTTTCCCTCTGACTTTTTAAATTGGTCGCTTGTCCACTTACGTTTTTACAATAAGCGTTTATCGACAAACCCCAAAGTTCAAATGGTTCTATCCAGTCCGTACAGAATAAATTCGTAGCATTTTTATATACATAAACTTTAGTTTTTACATACTAATTATGCAATGTGACATTACAAGTCATTTCTCCCACCAAAAATAATATCTCGCCAGAAACTGAAATCGAGACTTTGGAAGTACTTTTTAATAAAGGTTTTTCAATTTCCTTCCATATTTCACTGATTATTGAAATACCACTGCCAAAGTCCAATAGCATTTTCACACCCATATTATTTATTTTCACATTAACAAATTTCTTTTTGTTTTCTGTGACCATTTTTCCGTCACAGTGCCGTGTACAAATTTTTTCCTGTGAGAATTTTTTCTTGGTTTGGTTTTGCAGTGTGAGTTTCTTTCTACTACACTTACCACACTTGTAACATTCTGCATTTTTAAATAGACAGTCTTTTCTAAGATATAATTTACCACATTTGAAACAAGAATTTATTCTCCTTTTTGTACATTTGTCCTTTGCTTGTATCAAGGAACATTCTTTTTTCTGAATTTTTTCAGCATTGTATTTCAGACTTAGAATTGTCTGTCAATTGTCCATTTTTTCCTGCACTGTAATATAACTGTTTTGTTCAATTTTCGTTAAACTTTTCGATCGTATTTCAGCATCTTTTTTAGCTGTTAAACCTGGAACGAAAATTCACCCTTTGAACGTATCTGGTGTCATTTGCTTTATTCTAAACTTTTCACACTCCTTGTTGATAATACCAGCATACGTGACAAAATCATCGTCCTCTTTTTTTGGTTAGATTTGTGTACCTCCAACGAGCATTAAACAGAAAGCTCTTGTCTCTAAAGATTCATCAGAATTTGTAACATGTCTTCAAACCCAATTTCACCTTGATTTTATGGAAATATGCAGGTACAATATTTGTCATATTTTATCGGAATTTTTTCATCAACATCAATCACTGTTTTCTGTAATCTTCCTAACCTCTGCAATCCTGATTGAATATTTGTTTATATCTACGAAAATACGCAGGAAAAGTCAGTCCTTCATAAAGACTGTGTACAAATTCTGATATTGTGTCTTAGACGGCGTCTTGCGAAAGAGACGTTGAAGATTTTTTTTGTCTTCTACCGAATAATGCCCAACAACTCCTGTTGCTGCATTTGTAGTTTTAGAAACTGTTGATTTTGTTGTTTTAGCTGTTTCTGTTGTAGTTATTGAATTCCAACTATCGAAGCCAAAATTTACTCCATATACGCAAGAGTATGTTCTTTCCTGCACCCAAGAAAATATTTTTCTTCTACACAACGATAGTTTTTAACCAACGGGATTAAAATTCTTGTCGTCACTCGTATCCTTGTTCCCAAAGAAACAAATATCTTTTTTCCATACTTGTTCATTCAGTATGATTTTCCAAAATCCTTGTAACTCCAGTTACAACTCATATAAGTTCCTGGATCCTTGTTACTGTTGTAAGTCATAAGAGTTCTGAATCCTCGTCACAGCGGTTATAAATCGCCTGGGTTTTGATACCCACATCGCCACTGTTATAAAGCGCTTCACTTATAATATAAATAAGGCTTGTCGTGACGCCTGTATTATTTAATCTGAAGACTGACTCCAGACGGATTATGTTTTTTTTACCTCTAACCTGGAGCAGGTCAGATATATATATATATATATATATATATATATATATATATATATATATATATATATATATATATATATATATATAAATGCATGTTTCATTAAATAATATAGACAAGTTTTGTCTATATAAGTACGTTCCTTTCATATTGTCCGATAAGTTTAATCACATTATCGTTAAAAGACAAAAGGAAAACACCATATTGATACATGTTTAAATCCAATCTAAGCTTTCGGCTTACACAAGACATTATCAAAGATGACAATTTTAATCAATCAAATAACAACTGACGAAAACAACAATGATAGATAGATAGATAGATAGATAGATAGATAGATAGATATTTGCTGCATGAAAATTTCAAGTAACGACAAACTCGTATATACGAGACGCGGAAGCAAAAATCATGATGTGGTCAAGTGTGACGTCACGACCTGCGACGCGATTTTCGCCTCCGCGTCTATATTATTTAATGAAACATGCATTAATGAAAAATTGCTGCCTAAATAAACACAATACACACACACACACACACACACACACACACACACACACACACACACATATATATATATATATATATATATATATATATAATTATGGACTAGTTCATGTAGTCACCAGGGATGCACTATTTACTTCACAACATGAACAGACATAGATAGATAGATAGATAGATAGATAGATAGATAGATAGATAGATATGAACAAATTAGATTGATAGATAAATCCTAACAATGAGAGAGAATATATTTACATAGTAAATGAGAGAGATATATACAGACAGAAATAGATAGATAGAAAAAATAGATAGATAGATAGATAGAATGAGTTAGTGAGTGAGTAATCAACCAGAACATCTTTCTGCTATTTTCATTAATTAATTTACTTCCAGTCACGGAACTGTTAGTCAAACGCATCCTAAAATATGCTGTTTTTTTTACACCAAGATTTTCTGTGATTTCACTCATGCATAGTACCAGAAAAATCTTCTGGAAAAGTTCTCACGATTTCGTTGTTGGAGAAAGATTTAGATAGATAGATAGATAGATAAATAGATAGATAGATAGATAGATAGATAGATAGATAGATATTAACTTTGCTAAGCCATATTTTTCTTATATGTTTTTGACGTCCAGATAGATGTTACAAGATAAGATCTTGCCCTGCTTCGATAAACGGAAGTTACCATCACGAGTCCCCAACTCGAAATGAAAACTGCACGTCTACGCATAGGCTCGACGCAGATACTTCCGTTTGGGATAAACTCGAAAAAAAAATGAAAAGAATTAAATCAACCAATCGGACCGTCTCCCGCGTATTCAAAAAATTGCCATTCGGAGCCGATAGGCGTGTATAAGTTCAACACGGGAAAGTCAAAAGGCAGTCCCATTCAACGGCGGAGGCAGAAGGGTCACGTTGCTCGCTCCTGACACTGGCCCGGCGATGAAACGAAGCATGTGACTGTTGCTGCTAATGAACTCTCGTCCGACGCTTTGTCAAAGGGCACCTTTCCCCTTCCATAAGTCAAGTTAACTCCACGAACTTTACTTGCCACTACCATAGACACTCAACTTCTTAAATACGAACTTTTTACTTGTTCTTATTTTCCTCACTAAAAAGACTATAAAATATATCTACAGTCTTGTTCTTTCGATTCTGAATTTCATTGTTTGCAACCAAACGCAGTATTTCGCCTACATGGTTTTCACATCGCCCACGCATCTAAATACGGAATATAACATAGGTATGAACAGACATACATAGTTATGAACCGATTGAGATACATTTATAGAGAGAGAGATAGTGAAAGATATATATATATATATATATATATATATATATATATATATATAGATAGATAGATAGATAGATAGATAGATAATGAACATAGATACATACATACATACATGCATGCATACATACATACATAATTAACTATGCTAGAGAATAGTTTTCATTTATCTTTTTGCCGTCTTAGTAAATGATCGAGTATATTTGAGGATATTAATTTAAACAATCGTAAAAATTCATTTATTTCAATTTGTTTAGAAGCAAGAGCCATTTACTTTGAATAATGCGCCAGCAAATCTTTATATTGTTACTCAAGATCAAATATCAATAACCGTTTTTGATCCAAAATAGTGTAGATTACTTCAGACTGTTGTCATATTTGATACCTAAATTAAAATGGATCATTAATTTCATTTGTCGCCATTCAATTAACCTTTGCTCGGGTCAATTATGGATAAAGGATTTCCCACGTGATTCTTAACAGCGAGTCCCGTACCATCCATCATTTCAATAATGAATAATTTTCATGAAAGATTCTTTTGCCAAAGCCAAACTGAAACACTGGAAACGTTGTCAGGCTAATCACCCTCAAAAAAACTCTTCTGATTTGGTAAGAAATCTATACAAACATTCCCAAAGGCGCACATATTTTTATAATATTCACCCAATTTAAGGCCCAATCGTCACTCAAGGAAGACAATTACTGAATGACGTTGTCACATTATTTCCGTCTAATTACCCTAATAAAATATGTTTTGATTTAGTAAAAATCGATACAAAGATTTCCAAAGGCGTACAGTAATATCTATTTTTTTAAAATAATATTTACCCCATATACGGCTGAATAGCCACTCAAGTATATACAGTTACTGCGTTCGTATACGTGTGAACGTTTTTATTTCGTGTGTGTGTGTTTGTACGTACGTATGTAAAAAATAAATCTATACATAATTCCGACTAACATTACATCCGAAAATGTAAAGAGGAGATCGAATCATACTTGAGTTTCAAACGTAGATATATGCCCAGTTTACACTAATAAAAAAAAGTTAGATATATGTCCGCTTTACACTAAAAAAGGGTTGATATATGTTTGGTTTACATGAGATTCAAAAAGGTCGACAAAGATTTGGTTTAATCTAGAGTCAGAGAACGAAACATAGGTGCAGTTTACATTAAATCGAAAAACAAAACCGGTCCGGTTTACATTAAATCGAAAAAGGAGACATAGGTCCGGTTTAGCCTAAATCGAAAAACGAAATATAGATCCGCTTTACACTAAATCGAAAAACGAAACATAGATCCGCTTTACACTAAATCGAAAAACGAAACATAGGCCCGCTTTACACTAAATCGAAAAATAAAACAGGTCCGGTTTATACTAAATCTAAAAGCGAAACATAGGCCCCCTTTACACTAAATCAAAAAACGAAACATAGGCCCGCTTTACACTAAATCGAAAAACGCAACAGGTTCGGTTTACACTAAATCGAAAAACGAAACATAGGTCCGGTTTACACTAATGCTTAAAACAGGGGTACGTAGACTACACCCGATTATTTTTATGCGGTCCCCAAGAGCAAAACAAACATAATTTTTGCAATATCTCTTCATGGGTTTTAGTATTTTCGGTTCTTCTTCTTCTTCTTCTTCTTCTTCTTCTTCTTCTTCTTCTTCTTCTATGTGCCGATCATGGCTCTCCACAACTTACTGTAAATTTTGTCTTTTTGCAGAAGTTAAACATTTGCACTATCTCATCAGGTACATTACTTAAAGCTTTCCTCTGTCCACCTTACCTCAATATGTCCTGTGAGTGTCGTGATTTACGACCTGAGTCTGCTATTCCGCGACCGTTATCGTCGCATGGCAATCTTCTATGTCAATATCTTTGATGGTGGATATCTTTGTTTCACTGTCCATATAATCACTCTGAAGATGGTCCACGTGAGCCGAAAGCTTAGATCAAAGAACAGCATAATAAAAAATATCCAATATAGCGTTGATGTAGTCTGGTTTACGCTAGAGTCAAAGGCATTGATAATGGCCCGATTTACAGGAGTGATAAAAGCTTAGATATACGTCCGATAAACATTGATAAAGGTCCAGTCTTTTATACTGTTTACACTGCTGTCAGAAATATAATCTCCTTTCCACAGTTAAAACATTGATAAGGCCCGATTAGGCCCGATTTACACTGCTGTTAGAAACGTATATATAGTCTGGTTTACACTAGAGTTAAAATATTGATAATGGTTCGCTTTACAATAGTCGAAAAGCGTAGCCAAATCCCCGTTTTATATTATATTCAAAAAGGTAGACATCGACCATGTTTCTACGCCAATCTGTAAGCACCAATTTATCGGTGGCCCGTCTTGGGCGAAGTTTTTATCACTCTACAGGGAATATTGTCGGTATATTTTAAGACCTCTGGCAGGGCTTGGTGTAAATAAAGTATGACCTACTCTGCACAGACGAAAATATGATGGAATTTGCTTTTTGTGGTGGGCTATTTCAAGCTGTAACTGTTATTGGAAATAGTAGCAAAAATGGAGACGAAATTGATGAATGATTAACAGGCTGTTTTTTTTTGTTTTTGTTTTAGCCGAGCGTTCACCGCTCAGTCTCAGTGAAAAGAAAATGAGAAGAAAAACGAAGAAAATTTATGCAAATGAAGTCAAGAGGAAGATTCCCAACGTGACAATATTGTCGGCCGAAGTTTATTTTTGTACAAAGGCAGTTTCATCCTCTTTGGCAGAAAATAGCTTCCCATTCCACCTCTTTACATTACTTACCAATTTGAATAATGACGTCTCTTCACGCAGGGAAATCGAAGTTTTTCTTTCCCCTGGAGGGATTTGTAACGATTCACTTAGCAAAAACGATCATGGTTCTCCACAACTTCCAGTCATTTGTATCTCCCTGGTCTGGCATACATTTACACAAGCTCTTTAAATAGGTTACTCGCTCTTCCTTTCTGTCCTTCTTGTCCTCCGTAAGTCCTGTCAGTGTCAAATTCTCCAAGCCATCTTTCCTCGGTATGTGTCATAGAAATTTCAAATGTCTCCCGATTCTAAGTACAATTGTGCTTTTTCTTTCCATCTTTTAAATATCGTCGTTACTCACATGTTCCGTTCATGGTATTCTCAGCATCCTTCTGTAGAACCACATCGATCTTGCCTCCTGTCTTCTTTCCATCTGTAAATGTCCAGCATTCAGAAGCATTGATATTACATAGCAGTCCAGCATTCTTTTCTTTGTATTCTCTAAATCCTTCTGTAGACCCTCATCTCTGTTGTCTCAACTCTCCTCTTCATCCATGAGGAAATTGTCCAGCATTCACTGCCATATAGGAGGATTGATATTACATGGCAGTTTAACTCTCTTTTCTTTGTTTATAGCGGACTATTTCCTGTTTTTTAATACTTTACCAAAAATTTTGAGGGCATCTTTCGTTTTCCAACTGCGCCTTCGGATTTATGTGTCGCAGTTTGTGTCGTCTGACAGCTATAAATTCTATCTTCGCTCAGTTGCTTGTTATTATTTTCTTCTCGTCTTGCTTTAATAACTTCTTTAGGAGTTTCTGCAGTTTACATTCTTAATCAGCTGTCAACATGGCGTCCCCTGTGTATTTTTCGCTGTTAATACCCACCAGTAATGAACCATATAGGCTAAATAAATCCACTAAGAAGTCATATCTTTGTCTTACACCTCTTTCTATTCTTGGATGTTTAGTACATTCTTTTTCTGTACTGATATAACAACAGTAACTACGGGCGGGTAGTGTGACGGTTATCAACGCGGGAAATGGAATCGCTGAGTCGAATTCGACATTCTAGCCTTGCTTGCTACATTCCCTTTCGTGCAAATATCGTTAAGCAAAGGTATGGGTTGAATAACAACGTAAACTGGGATCCCTAGCCTTGGTTGTCAACCAGTCTGAAAGAAGGGCATTTCTTTATTCACAAGAAAGCGAACGGGGAACTATCCCTTTAGACTTCCCAGAAAGACAATTCACAAGTAGGAGTAGATAGGTTCGCCTATTGTCCGGTTCAAACTCCTCGAGGGTCTTTTGATCGGGAGTAGAGGTTTATTCCTTTTTTCCCTCTTTAGGATTGAGTTTCCGGTTCTTTCAAAAGTCTTCTTCAATTTTATAATTCAAATGTCTCCGACCGAGCACTGGAAATTTTATTCGCTAACTAAATCTTGATCTCTCCAAATCTAAAATTAGTTATCTTTTCTCTTATCTTGCCCTTTCTGACACTAATACAAATCCATACAGTAACCCTCTACCTTGAGTGGCTCTTGGGACTTGCATTGGGTGAACATTAGTAAAAAGAAAATGAAAAAGTATGATCTTTGAGAGCCAGAAAAAAGTTAACTGCATTTTCCTTAATGATAGAGCAACTTAATCAAAGTGGGTTTGAAAAATGGACAATCAAAACTACTAGGCCACTAACGCCAATTTCACATTTCAGCTCTTTTCTCAAGTTAAAAAAGAATTTTCATTTTTTGCAAAAAGTGACATTTCTTCTCACAGAAAGTACAAAATGTCAATGTATGGAGTTAGTATTTATTGTTGCTGCCTTTGGCTCGAATAAC